CCAAAAAAAAAACACAATGCTAACACTCAGCCTCTGAATTAGCCACGAGCGAAAAAATGCTAACCTATCACTGCACCGAAACTCACTCATAACTCCCTTATTACTTATCCTAGATGCACAGCCAACCCATTGATTAGCATCGTCTGGAGACACAGAATCGATGGGTGCTCACCTCAACACTCAGTGATACAAACTCGCGACTATATAAACGAAAATGTACATCAAAACATTTGGCGCTAGGTAGCTACAAACGCTAACATGGCTTACCTTGGTCTTTGTCTGGTCAAAACTGGTCTTCAATGGCATTAAAACGATAAAAAACTATGCTGCAGTTAATCCATAGGTTAATCCATTGTGTCTGTGTCCTCTTTGAAATGATTTCTGATAATCCATAAGCAATAAAACTGCTTTTCCGTTTCCAGATGTCAGAGCGAGAGATCGCTTCACTCTGATGCAAGCCTGCATGCGCAAAGCCCCCACCTTTTTGTGTTAATGTTGGTGTCTATGTGAAAACCCCCCTTCGATTCTATTGGCTCTAACGGTCAGGAAGAGATTACAATCACCAAAATCGACCAATGGGTTCCAGAGAAACTGTAAAAACGCCCATTTACACCCAAATAACCCCAGAGGTGGGTTTTTTTTTCTAAACCTGGCTAAAAAGGTCAAATGTCACTTGTTTTGCATCAATCTCGATACAGGGTACTTATTATATGTTCTACTTTGGATTCCTAAAGCTTTTAGTCTACCATCCCATCATTCAAGGGTGGTTTTCATTATAAGTAATGGTTTTCTTTTAGGCGGAGGTAAGAATTTACCTTTTTTTACCATGTTCCATCTGAATTTATTCTGACTGAGAAAAATCTATATTGATTCTGACACTTCTACATCCAACTCACAGATGTAACCTTGCTTTGATAAAAGAAATTATTCATATAACCCTTTTAGAAGTTAAGTTGTAGCCATTTGTTTTGGGCATGTCATTTTCGAGCCTGAAACATGAAAAACAGGCTTGGTGCTTAACAGGTTAAAAAAATTACCAGACCGTGAGCATCAGGGAACCCCAATGAACTGATATATGTTGTTTTTTTGGTTTTGTGTGTAAAATGTGGAGATGGGAGCAGTTTGTCTAAAGTGTACTTCTCTCTGTTCTGAAGAAAGATCCGAAAAAATTTCACATGGGAATCAATTGGGAGCTAGGTGGACTTTTTGTCTCTTCATGCCCTCAAGAGGCATTTTGTTTAATATTTTTTCTTAATTTGTTTTTATTTTCCAACCTAGGAGAGGTTTTGCTACGTTTTTCATGAAAATATATGTCTGAGGAGTGTAGGGTTTGGGAATTATGGCAAGTTTAAAACATTTTTTGTGGAGAATTTCAAGCACTCCTGCACTCTGTTTTGAGATCAAAGCACTCTAGACTTAACGAGCTGCTCCATCCACACTAATGTTAAAATCTGAAAAAGGCCTCTCTACCAAGCTCCAAACTAAGTTAAATATCTCAAAAAGATATCAGAAATCTGAATAACAAGTTTTATAGCTGAAGGTATTGTGATCATTTTAAAGTTGGAATGAAGTGTCTAGCTGAAAGTATGTGGAAGGAGTAGCATTTGGCGCAAGGTGTAGGAAAAGAGGATTTGAAGGCTCCTCCCATTGACTTCCATGTTAAAAAAAGAGTTTAAAAAGCTGAATATTTCAAAAAGTATAACATATTTTTTAAAAGTTGAAGGTTTCCCATCGATTCCTGCAAAGGCTGAATAGTTTAATATTTGAATGGTTTCTGTAGCTGAAAATAAGCTGAAGTTATGGAGAGCCAAAGTATTGGCTGAAATAAGAATAAAGATTTGAAGAACTATAGTGGAATGCTGTAAACAGCATTTGCACTAATAAAGATTTGAAGTACTATAGTGGAATGCTGTAAACAGCATTCGCACTAATAAAGATTTAAAGAACTATAGTGGAATGCTGTAAACAGCATTCGCACTAATGACTCTGATGAATCTGACTCTCTGATGACTCCTACCTTTCTCTTTAATCTGCAGCTGACATGGACAGCCCGTAGGGCAGCTCCCATGGCCGGTCTTAAGTGCGGTGAGGAGGTGGTGGTCAGCTACCTGCCGCTCAGCCATGTGGCAGCCCAGCTAATTGACATGTGGATATGTGCTGGTTTTGCCATGACAACATACTTCGCAGATCCAGATGCTCTCAAGGTATGGAAACCTACAGCTGTATAAAACATGGAGTTATAATGAAGGTTTTCTATCTTGACTATAATCTCCATTCCTTTTTCCCAGGGCTCCTTAGTAGACACACTGAAGGAGGCTCGTCCCACTTGTTTCCTGGGAGTTCCTCGTGTGTGGGAGAAGATGCAGGAGAAGATGAAAGCTGCCGGTGCCAAGGCATCCCCAATGAGGAGCGCAGTGGCAGGCTGGGCCAAGTCCATAGGCCTGCAGTACAACTACAGTGTCATGAACGGGTAAGAACGAGACAAAGATTGTTTCATTGGTGCCATGCCATTTTTCGGAAATCCAAATGATCTGAAAGATTTCCAATTGGATCGAAAGCCCATTTTTCATGTAACAAATCGTTTTTATTCTGATGGCCCATAGCTTAGAAAATACACACTAGCACCAAACAGCAGCACATGGCTAATGATCATGCAAAATTATGTCATCGGACCTTTGCAGCTGCAATATTTGTATTATTTTGTTTAGGTATTAGGAGTGAGGCATAGTTAGTGCGAATGCTGTGCCACAGCATTCCACTATAGTACTTCAAATCTTTATTCTTTCCGCTTATTAGTGCGAATGCTGTGCCACAGCATTCCACTATAGTACTTCAAATCTTTATTAGTGCGAATGCTGTTTACAGCATTCCACTATAGTTCTTCGAATCTTTATTCTTCCCCTTATTAGTGCGAATGCTGTTTACAGCATTCCACTATAGTTCTTCGAATCTTTATTCTTCCCCTTATTAGTGCGAATGCTGTTTACAGCATTCCACTATAGTTCTTCGAATCTTTATTCTTCCCCTTATTAGTGCGAATGCTGTTTACAGCATTCCACTATAGTACTTCAATTTCTTTATTCTTCCCCTTATTATTATTATTATTTCAACCATACTTTGGCTCTCCATAACTTCAGCTTACTTTCAGCTACAGAAACCATTCAAATATCAAACTATTCAGCCTGTTTAGGAATCAATTGGAAACCTTCAACTTTTTAAAAATATTTTATACTTTTTAAAATATTCAGCTTTTTAAACTCTTTTTTTTAACATTGAAGTCAATGGGAGATGCCTTCAAATCCTCTTTTCCTACACTTTGCGCCAAATGCTTCCCCTTCCACATAATTTCAGCTAGACACTTCATTCCAACTTTCAAATGATCACAATACCTTCAGCTATAACACTTGTTATTCAGATTCTTCATATCTTTTACACTTCTTGAGATATTTAACTTAGTTTGGAGCTTGGTAAAGAGGCTTTCTTCAGATTTTAACATTAGTGTGGATGGAGCAGCTCGTTAAGTCTAGAGTGCTTTGATCTCAAAACAGAGTGGAAGAGTGCTTGAAATTCTCCCCAAAAAAATGTTTTAAACCTGCCATAATTCCCAAACCCTACACTCCTCAGACATAATTTTTCATGAGAAATGTAGGAAAACATCTTGTAGCTTGAAAAATGAAAAATAATTAAGCAAAATAATTAAACAAAATGCCTCTTGAGGGCATGAAGTGACAAAAACGTTCAACATGTCTCCATTAAGGCGCCGTTTAGACGAGGATAAAACGGCTTGTATCTGCATAGTTTCGCGTGCGTATAGCCCTATTATTTAGACGAGGCCGATAGAAACTGACCACACAAACGATAACGGGTCCCAAGGTGGATAGATTTGCAAACGAAACGCTCTGGGGGGTCAACCGAGTCCGTTTAATCGCCTCTATACGAATATTGCCTGAAAAAATAACGACAGCCCCGCCTCTTCGCACCTCTTCCCACCTCTCCCCCGCCTCATTGCTGATTTGTTTCTACAACAACAACAACAAGAATGGCGGATCACAGGGTTGCTGTTGTGCTCCAGACGCTACTGACCATGATTAATATGTTAGTGCTACAACTACGGTGCTTCTACGACAACCACAAGCAACTAGTGGACATGAAGAACCACATACACGACATGTGGCTAAATCCACCGCGGAGAACAACCAGAAGGGCGACCAGGAGAAAGTTTTGGGTAAGACCGGGCAGAACTAGCAGTTGGTGGGACAATTTTGTCAATGGCGTTGTCGTGGACGATGAATGGAGGGAGAACTTCCGCATGTCCAAAGCCTCTGTCGTTGCCCTGACTGAAGAACTGCGCCCATATATCGAGAAGAAAACTACAAACATGAGGGCGCCAATTGATCCACTGAAAAGGGTTGCTGCGGTTCTTTATTACCTGAGCGACGAGGGAAGGCTACGGAAGACTGCTAACGCCTTCGGAGTTTCCCGCCCGTCTTTGTCCCTCATTATTAGGGAGACATGCAGAGCGATCACCATCCACCTGGGTCCAAAATACATCAAGCTGCCTTTTACTGAGCCCGAGACCGCGGATCTGGTTGAGGGGTTCCATTGTACACATGGCATGCCACAATGTTTAGGAGCAGTGGACGGAACCCACATCGAAATCAAGCAGCCATCTAACGACTCCACTAGTTACATCAACAGGAAAGGAAAATATTCCTTTAATGTACAGGCTGTCTGTGATTACAGGTACCGATTCATGGATGTCGTGGTAAAGTGGCCTGGGAGTGTGCATGATGCACGGGTCTTTGCTAATTCCAAGCTAAACATGTACTTAAAAACTGGAAAGATCCCTGCTCTGAAAAAACAGATTGTGGACGAAGAGGAGGCCATACCATGTATGTACATAGACTGTACATTTTTTTTAAAGGTGTTTATTAAGATGTGATAAACATTCTTTGTTACATTCCCTGTCCTCACTATGCAGCTCCTTCAGCGACAGGCTGCTGTACAATATTCATATACCTGGCTAGGTATATGTACCTGGCTGCTAAATCTGAGGACTGTTACAGGATTTTTTGTATTATATCCTAACTGTTTTTAGTACTTTTTAATGCATGTCACATGTGTGAAACTAAGCAAATAACTATGTGATTCTCCAATGTCAAAAGTGTGAAACTAAAAATAAAATTGGCTGCAACCACTTCCAGACTTTCTTTGAACTTAATGTGCAACAAATGTCATCATCCTCATGAATGAAGTTATATGGCCCATTCTACCGAGTCAGGTTGTCCATATATATTTTGTACCGTATTTATTTACACATATAGTAAAAGAACCGTACATTTTTATATGGTATTTTCAGACTGTATTGGCCACTAGCGAAACATAGTACATACACTGTAGTAAAAAAACTATTATATTAACCTGTTAAGATTGTGTTACCTTCCCTTCTCTAAATAGTATTTTAACCAATATTTGAGGATTTTCAGTAAAAGTAATATAAGCAAATGTTGAATCAAAGTTGAATTTATACAATTCATAAAAATCATAATGCAAACTTTCTTTGTGAAATGCATAATACTGATCATATTGATTCCAGAGATGAAATAGAAGGGAATGAGGCTATAATGGGTAATTTTTTTGGTATTTTGAGCAAAACACTTCATAGACATGTTTTTTATATATCTGAGACTATAATATATGCCTAACAATAGTTTGGGCTTTACCATTAAGGCCCAATGTGACATATCACAGTTCAGATATTTGACACTAGGGGGGGGGTTACTTTTCATAAATGTGGTGTATTTAGTCAAAATTAGGTTTACAAGGTGAAAAGGACTTACAGCCTCCCACACACTGATATAGATATCTCACTGACTGTAATGAGGGAGAAGGAAAGAGAGTGAGGAGAGTGCTTGCGGAGTACATTGACCCTTACATGAAAGACAAGACTGTTCTTTTATTTTAATAAAGTTTTTTATTAATAACATTATTTATAAATGTGTACACAGTAAAAGGGAAAAAAATACCTTTGCTAGCTAAAAAAAAAAGGCTTAAAAAAAAAGTGATTCTCCATTTGTACAAAGTCTGGTGGAGTTAAAAATAAAAATGTTTACAGACTTCCTTTGACCAAAAAGTGCTGTGAAAAAAAAAGAAGCTCACTGCTTTACTGCTCCTCCTCATCCAGTGACCGCCTGAATGAATATGGAGGAGATTGTTGCTGTGGGGTGTGTGGTACAGAGGGGTTTAATCTTGGTGTGGCCGTGTGTGGCCTTCGGGGTGGGTATGAGGGCACCTGGAAGTGTCCATATCCACTGTTGTTAGTATGAACTTGCATGAACTGGCTCATCAGGGAAAGGCCATTCTGTACAGTCACATTAATGTTGTCCATGGTGTTGTTCATACGATCCATGCTGGCTGCGCTGCGGCTGGTTGCTTCCTCCATTAAGTCCAACATCCGGCTTTTTAATCGCAGCTCTTCCTGCACCGCATGTTCCGCTGGAAGCTTCCTCTTCATGCGGTCACTTCTGTGGCCGTCCAGCCGTGCCTATAATAAACCAGAGAAAGTTTGAATTAATACACAATAGGACCATAGCCACCAGATAACAGAACACAAAAGGCATGTTGTGAAATAGCTCTCAATACATTTTACAAATAAAACAGCTCTAAATACTTTCTAATTTTACCAAGCTTAAACCGGTTCAGTTTTTCAGTGGAAGGTACTGCATCATAGTATATAGCAAGCCCTTTAAGATTGAAATCATGAACATACCTGGAGCAGATCCCTGCGATGACTCACAACCGCAGCAGTTGGCAGAGTTCCGTTGGATCTACTCGACTCTGGCAAATCCGTGGAATGCTCCAAACTCGGGTAGGAACTTGGTCCGGGCGACGACTCTTCCATGTCGAACAAGTCCCCTTGTACCTGTTTTAGTTTCGCTGTAAGCTGGCCCTGTGAAATTGTGTTCTTCTCGTGAGGGAAATCTTTTTCAGTCGGGGTCCTCGGATATTGCGCCTGAAATAAGTCGGCTATCTCCGTATATTTAGGCTTGCAGGACTCCCAGTCTACATTATCCTGTATTTTTGTCGTCTTATACTCAAGTGTTACACTTAAAAGAAGTTCCACCTCGTCGTCGGACCACGAAAATAGCTCCTTTCTTGCGCGAATAACAGCCATCTTCGTTTGTTTGTTTTGTTTGTGCCTCACACACATCCGGGGGGGATCTTATACTCGCTGCTTTTGGTGTATTTTGTGGCGGAAGTTACAGCGCCACTTACAGTCCCGCCATATGTACTACAGCTTTCGAGCGGTCTCGTGTGGAAGTACAGCGCCACTTACAGTCCCAGCATATGTACTACAGAGTTTCCAGCGGCCTCGTTTGAACAGACACGTTAAATGAAACAAATGCATGTGAACGGAAGACTTTTTTGAATACGAATACTGTGCATAAAACGCAAACGGCCTCGTGTGAGTGGGGCCTAAAGCCCATTGTAATTTCAGGC